GTCACCATCGTGGTTACGAAGGAGAGGGAATAATCTATGTCGGGGAGACAACTGCACGTGGCTTGGCATTTGTCCTGTGGAGAAGTCAAACATGTCAGAGGCTGACATTCTCATATGGAGGTGACATTAAACAAACAAGGTGGCGGGGAACTCTTTAAATCACCTGCAATATTTCAAGAAGTCAATCAATAATATAGCTGTGACAAGCCGGGGCCACAGACTTGCCCATGACCAGTGGGTTTTGCTTCCCACATAAACATGCTTGGCAGGAACTGTGCTGCTAATATGGGGCACGAAGTGTGTCTCCCTACCCTGACTTTGTCCCACCATTAGTGCATTTAAAAAAAAAAATGACCTTTGGAAAGACCCAGGCTAAAGATGATCTCTACCGGCCACTCACTAGGTGGGATTACTCGGAAATATCAGATTGTTGACTAATACTTTCTGTTTTCAGCCGCTTGTCTGGGTGCTGTCAGAGGCGCCGTCTCAGACGTGGAGGGTACCAACTATTTAAATCCTTACTTATGAACATAAAGCCAGGGGCTGGAGGAGCCCAAGCGAGGCTGGCTCCAAAGGAAAACCGCATAGCGATTATACATGCCTTGAACAAGACAGGAGGTTGACCATGCTTCAGTCGATAGCAAGAGATAGCACTTCAAACCCAAGGGCTCCTGGGAGAGGGGTAAGACTTGGGCTTGAATTCCTGCGAACTGGTACATCGCTAACTTTAGAGAGGCATTCTCAGCCAGGTTTTGATTGAGGACGGCAGGCCTACCTGAGGGTTCTGGCTGACCAAGGGTAGGGAGTGATGTGGGAGGAGAAAATGGGGGTCCTCTCTGCTGTGGATCCAGGCCCGAGGAATCCCATAGGGGCCTCCCCCTTACGTGTACCCCGGTGTGGTGAATAGCACCGTGCTTTCGTCACTGAAACTGAGACCATAAACCTCAGGTGTGGCAGTGGGGGTGGAGGGCCGCTGGTGAGGACCTGAGATCATCCAAGATGCCGGGAGGGGTGCTGGGCAGCAGAGGCAGGAAGCCAGTGACCAGTGGGGAGACTGACGAGGGAATGAACACTTTCATGAGACACAGGTTCTCCGGGCCAGGGGGTAGACTCTTGAACTCTTGCGAGGTTGGAAGGACCCTCGAGGTCTCGCTATTGTCCATTGTCCTCCACACTAAACCTACCTGGGGGTCCCGTGGCCTTTATTTGTGTATCTCCAGCAGAGAGGAACTCACATCTTCTGAGAACTTGTTCCAATCCTGGACGAATTTAATGGTGGGATCTCCCGTTCTCTCAGCAGTTCTTTGGACTCTATGTGTTACGAAGAGTTAATGTAGCTCCTCTGTCATAGTACAGCTTTTCATCTATTTGAGGATCGCGTTCTTGTTCTCCATGAGTCTCCTCTTCCCGCATAAATAATAAGCGGTGTCATCAACTGCTCTGTATACCCTGTGGCTTTGTGGTCCTTCACGGGTCCCACTGCCCTCCTATGGACGTGTGCTAGTTTGTCAATGTCCTTCATCAAGTGTGACGCGGAACAGCTCATGGCTCTTGTTTCAGTTAGCGAGTGCTGCGGAACAACCAGTCACAAAAATCCCAGCAATGAGCTCGTGATTCTCTGGATCGGCTGGGCTGCAGCTCAGCTAGGCCGGGCTTCCCTAGCCAATCTCGCTGACCTTGACCGGACTTGCTTACATTTCTGGGGCCGGCTGATCTCGGCTAGGCTTGGTTGGACCATTCACGTGTCTCTCATCTCCTGCTGGGACCAGTGGGCTAGCCCCAGAATGTTCTTCTCAGGAAGATGGCAGACGCCTAACAGGACAAGCCCAATCATACAAGTATTTTTCAAACCTTTGGTCATGTCCAGCCGGTTAACAAGTCACATGACCAAACCTAGACCCAAGGGAGGAGGGGAGCTCTGGCTCCTTTGTGGGAGCAACTTTAAAGGGACACAGCAAAGGACAGGGACAAAGGGAGGGCTGAAGAACTGGGGCCTTTGCTATAGCCTACTGTAGATTTGATCTGGTCAGATCAAAGCAGTGCTAGATTTTTTTCCTTCTCTTTTTCTGGACACCATGTTTCTATCAGCTCAAGCTAAGATTCAATAACCTTTTCAGGTAACCATACTGATGACTTACACTGAACGTGCTGTCAAGTAGAAGCTGCAAGTGTTTTTACATATGCTTGCCAAGCTCTGGGCCTGTGCCACTGACCTTTTAGGCCCTGGTGCAGGACATCACGTGTATTCCTAGTCAATTTTTATCTTGATGGAATCAGGCCCCAAAATATTTAAGCAAGATGAAATCCATACCTCCTCTTCTTTCAAGTCCCATATCTGCACATTTCATCATGGTGTCACCAGACCTCTTCTTGGTGTCTGTGATAGCAATGTTGAATTGACCTGTCGAAGATAAATAGAGCCCTACATCTCTCTGCCAGAGCCTGTCTTGTGGGCCGCCAGTCGTCCATTATTTTGCATTCCTGGGGTCTGGTATTTTAAACACTAGAAATTCATCTGATTTCATCATCATCTGGCCTCCTCTCTCTATCTTGTCTCAGGGATGTGAAGAGACTTTGTGGAATGCTTGTTATGATCACATGAAAGACAGATAGGATTTAGAGAGGAGATATCATTTCGAGGGAGCAGGATGAGTAAGCTCCCTAGATGGGTGCGAGTAGGTATATTGGTGGATATAGAGTCTTCAGATAGTCTCATGAGTGGGGCCATTGAAGGTAAGACCAGAAAGGGAAGCTGACTTCATGTTATGAGAGTTCTTGGGTACCAGGATAATGAGACGGGAATTTTACTTACACGTTTCCAAAAACTTGCAGAACATAATGGTTCCTTAGAGGTGCCCCTTAGGGTTGCCTTGACTTGGGGCGTATGGCAACAACTGCTTGGCCCCAACATCTGTTCCCTTCTTCTTCAGTCATAGCGCCCATGATTTTTAGTAGGGCACACGGCTCCCCAGAATAAAGACTGCATTTTCCAGCTTCCCTCATGCCTAGGTGACCATATTTTAGCCAATAGGGTTTAAGTGCAAGCAGCATGAGTAACTTCCAGAGAATGTCTTCAAAGGATGAGATGTAAACTTCTTCATCCCTTCTATCTGGCTGGATGCACATCTTTGGTCCTGAAGTGACACTGGCAAAGTCATAAAATAGAAATGATTCGGATCTCTCAGCACATGCAGTTCTACTCCAATCACGTAATGACTATTAAGGATTTCTTTTATGTGAGCAAGCAATAAAAAATTCTATGTATTATGTCGAACTTCTCTCAAAGTAAACCCAATCCTAATTCTCCTCGCTAATACAGAGGGACAAGAGACCACATAAATCTGGCTGTGATGCACAAAAGAGGTCCAGTGGCGGTGCGAGAACAGTTGGCTCCTGACTATCCCTGTGCATGCTGGGAAGGCAGCCATGATGTAAATGGTTGAGAATCCTCCACCAACAAGCCAGTTACACTTGGGTTCATGGGTATGTGGAGCTCTGCGCCACTGTTCCTTTTTCCCTCCTCACTCCTGAGTCACCGCTATGCTCTGGCCACCTGGTCTCCAGGGTCCTGGGTGGGTCATTACACCAGGTTGCAAGAGGCAAGATTCTGCCTGGAGTAAAAGGATATTGTCTGCATGAGCGTTCTTCCTGGAGCAACGGCCAAATGTGCCCAACATGTCAGGAATCAGAATGACTTTTCTTCCCGTGGCTTATAATCACAATTATACTTAGTAAACACCTATTTGCCCCCCAGGGATTAGCTAATGGTACCTCTCCCTTTGCTAACAGTGAATAGGGGATAAGGGACGGAGGGAGATTTAGCATAAATTTCACAACCACCAAGTTTAAGTTTTTATGTCTGCGTAAATGAGCTGAAATTGGCCTGGTGCTCCATTTGACCAAACTGCTGAAAACTTGACCCGGGCCTCCACAGAAACTGGGGCATTTAGACATGGTTAAAAAGCTCAGTCAGTTCAGGCGGCTGCCCCCAACTTCCAGTGCTTCTCAGCTCTGGTGGGCTGACCATCTGTCCTGGTCCGGGAGTTGAGGCCTCTGGTATGAGGCTGCTCTCTGCCCCCACCCTGGTTGGTGGCCAGGGTGCGGGCTCCGTGCGTGTTTGGTCGCAAGCTCCCACCCCATCACCTGTGCGTGGAACACACACGTGTATCCTTCTTGCACCTGCTGTCTGCACATGCTTCCTTGTCCGGCTGTGGGAGCTCTCCGTGCTTCCTGACTGCCTCTCCACCACTGCGGGCCAAGCTGAGCTGTGAGCACGTCTCTGAGATCATCCTCATTTTGGGGCCCAAGGCACGCTACCCACACACGTACTGCAGCCCTTGGGCACTGTCTTGGCTCCATTGAGGGCTGCTCCGAAAGGCTCCTCTGCTCAAGGATTCACCCAAATTCATCTGCCCTTTGCCCTGGCATTCCTCTTAGGCTGGTCCCAGGGATCATCAGCAAGGCTTAGCCGGGGGTGAGCTAGGGATACCCTTTGGGAGGGTGGGCTACATGTGAATCCCCTCTCCTCCAAGCCTCTCCTCTGGGCAGCTGGCTTAACCTTGATCTACTCTGACGCTTCTTTGTTTTCAACTGTGTTTTCTCAACACACACACACACACACACACACACACACACACACACCATGAATGCCACTGCCACCGTCCACCAATGGCTTGTAGAGGCAAGAGGAAAAATGTAGAAAAGAAAATCTTGTTATTATTAATGTGATATCATACCATCCCCGTGGCTTTCTTTTCTAATCATCAACCAAATGACTAAACTTTAAAAGGGCGTGGCTTGGGGGTACTGTTTCTAGGTAGTCTCTCTGTGTTTATTGTACTTTCCTTTCTCTGTGGACGTCGGCAGGAAGAATCTGCTTGAAGACTCCGGTGCCTTGCTGCTTTTCCAGTTTCTAATAATGTACATCACCCAGGATTGTTAGCATAAACTAGAGCACAGCCTGGGGCCACGGGTCTGGGGCCGCAGCTCTGTATAACGCACCGCGTTCTTCTTCCTACTTTTCATATAACACTGGAAGAGTTAAAAAAAAAACCTGAAGTGAGGGTAAGATGTTGGCTAATTTGAATTTCTGCTTGAATGGGGTCCTGGCCCCTCAATATATATGTAGATTGCAAAAATGACCACAAATTCTTATTTTCTCTGCCTCTCGACTCTAACCTTGATTGTGTGATCTGCTTTGGCCAATGGGATCTTAGCAAACACGACACAGTAGAAGCTTATAAAATGCTGATGTGCTGGGACTCAACCTCTCATGCTCTCGGGGAGGGGGGGCACCGGGCCACCACCATCATGTCAGCAAGCCCTGGACTGGGTGATGGGAGTGACCCCTGTGACCTCAGCTAAATGAACGGTTGTTGTTCTAAGCTACTGAGTTAGGGGGTAGTTTGTTACTCAGAAAGAGCTGACAGCTACAGGATGTCCAATCTAACCGAATGTTTGGTGAATTGGCATTTTGTAATTCCGGGGTTCTAGACTGAATATTAATTCTTTCCATACAGAACTACAGACTTGAAAGACAGGCTGGTGTGTCAGTTAAGGGACTGACTCTTCATCTCAACTCAGGTCATGGTATCACTGTTTGTGAGTTTGAGCCCTGCATCAGACTCTGTACTAACAGTGAAGAGCCTGCTTGGGATTCTCTCTCTTTCCCTTGCTCTCTGCCCCTCCCCCACTTGCATGCACGTGCGCTCTCTCTCTCTCTCTCTCAAAAAAAAAAAAAAAACTGAAAAATAAAGACAGAGGCTGAGTTTATGCTAAGTCCAGGATGTACTGTATTTTTTTTCCTTAAAAGCTAATCTCCATATTATTATGCTTATATTGCAAATGTTAGAATAGTATGCTAAATATGACCTTACTAAATTAATTAAGTTTATGCTGTATGTATACTCGTATGTCCATGGAAAATTCTAGAAGAACCAAAGAAACTGTTAACAAAGGGTATCTCTGGGCCTTGGACTAAAGGTGGAATAGAGGTAGGAAGAACTTTAATTTATTGTTTTTATCAGCTTTGAAATTTTTATCATGATCACCTGTTAATTTTATGATTAAAACAGTGCTAAAATTAAACTAAGTCCATCACCAAATGGTTCAAAAATACCAGCTTAGCTCAAAGAACTGTGAGCTTTTTTTTTTTGTCTTTTTTTTCTTAAAAGCTCAGTGTCCAAAATACATCCCATTACTTCAGGATTTTCGTCAGCATAGGCGCCAGTGAATTGGGTTTTTAATCTGGTAAGCATTTGCTACATGTCAAAAACACTGGCTTTAAAGAAAGAAAATGCTTATTTATTTAGTTTTATATTAATTTCCCACCTACTTCCAAGAAATATTTGAAACTCCTAAGGTAACGCATTAATTAAATGCTGCTAAGGCAGAATTTCTGGGCAAATAAAAGACCTTGTGTTACCATAGCGCTACCTTGGCAAATTGGAAAAATAAAGCCCCACAAAAATCTGACTTCATCGAGGGCTCCTAGCTCAGATCCAGTGAACACAGTCTGAATCAAGACTATAATCAGGGTGTCTGAACTGGGAGATGGGGATCATTACCAGCACGAGGCCCTAGAGAGTTGGCATTTGCTGCCTCTCGGGCATGTGGCTACCAGGGCCGGGGAAGCCAGATCATGGCTGGCAGTTTCAGCTTTGGTTTGGAGTCTCAGGACCCGTCAGAGCAATGCAGAAAGAGTCCGGGGAAAACTGTGGCTCTGAGCTCTGATGGCCTTCTCCAGTTCTCCTGGGGTCTGGTTAACCACGTGACCAAATGGCATCTAAGGATCGTGCCATCAGCCTGGCCTATAACACACTCACTGCAAAGAGGTGGTGGGAAAGTGACCCTTGGTTTTGGAAAAAATTCCAGGATCAGGGTTGGTAGTGGATTTCTCATATATGATGCATTGCATGGTGAGTTTCTTGGCTTAAGGTGCTTTGATGTTGTGATTTACTAGAAACGTATTTCTTTTTTTAATGTTTATATTTGAGAGAGAGAGAGAGAGCGAGAGAGCAAGGGAGGAGCAGAGATAGAGGGAGACACAGAATCCGAAGCAGGCTCCAGGCTACAAGCTGTCAGCACAGAGCCCGACTCGGGGCTGGATCCCATGAACCCGGGACAAAGTCAGGTCTGAGCCGAAGTTGGACGTCTAACTGACTGAGCCGCCCAGGCACCCCCTATAAGAAATATATCTCAAATGACCAAAATATATTTCTTATATATATATATCTGGTCTTCACCCACGGTTCCTGCTTACAGGTCCTAAAACCCTTGACATTTCCTAAGTGATCTTTAAGGGCAACTGGAGCCCCTTTTGTCACATTTGGTCTCTTGTCTCCTGTTCCTAAAAATGCTTTGGAGCCACAAAGGTGAATGGATGTCTTGTTATTCCTAACAAACCCCTTTCCATCACTTCGGGGTTTCTGTTAATGGGATGACTATTGGAAAGTGCCTAAGGATGGGGGTTGTTGCCAAGGAAACCAACCACGAATAGAGGGTTGGAACTTTCAGCCCCACCTCCTGATTTCTGGGGAAGGAAGAGAGATTGGAGGCTGCATCTATCACCAAGGGCCAGTGATTTCATCAATCACGCCTATTTAATGAAGCCTCCATAAACCCCCCAAAAGATCGGGTTGGGAGAGCTTCCGGGTTGGTGATCACATGGAGATGTGGGGAGAGTGGCCTTGAGAGGGAGTGGAAGCTTCTTACCCTTTCCCCAGACCTTGCCCTATGCATCTCTTCCATCTGGATATTCCTGTTACGTCCTTTCATGATAAACCAGTCATATAGTAAGTAACCCGTTTCTCTGAGTTTGGTGAGCCACTCTAACAAATTCTTTGAACCCAAGGAGGAGGTAGTGAAAACCTCTGATTCATGGCCAGTGTGTCAGAAGCACAGGCGACTACCTGGACTTTCAACTGGCATCTGAAGTGTGTGTGGGGGCGGGGGTGGGGGGCAAGAGGCAGTCTTGTAGGACTGAGTCCTTACCCTGCGGAACTGCCGCTGTCTCCAGGTAGATCGTGTCAGAATTGAGTTAAGTTGTAGGGCACGCAGCTGGTGTCCAGAGAATTGCTTGAAGGTGTGTGTGGGGGAATGTTCTTCCATCCGAATGGGTCCCAGAACCCCCCTTGCACACGGTCACGGCGGGCTGGACGCAGGTACCGAGGCAATGCTTCTCAACAGGACAGAGAAGGAATGCGTTGCAATGAAACTTGTCGATCTGGGTCAAGAGGAAATGGAAAGAGTGAGAGCGAGGGGGAAATGCCTTGTATAATTAATTAAAGCAAGTGGTTGGGAAGGGCTTTAGGAACTGTCCTCCTGCCTTAGAAATCCATCCACCTGTGTACGGAGCAGGAGCCCAAACAAGATACAATGCAGATGTTGATGGGGCTCCGCAGAGGTCGCCTTAGTCAAAGCTTTTCGGTTGGGCAGAACACAAGCCTACTGATGTTGGCTCGGTTAAAGAGATCTTTAATAAAGAGAAGCAGGGCATCTTAGGGGACCAGGAGCGGTGGTGTGGGGGCTGACGTTGCAAACAGGCTAACAGGGTCCAAGTGAACTGGCCTCTTCTTCTCCTCGGGGCCCCACGGTCTCTCATTTCTGCTTTCCCCACTTATCTTCCCCATTCTCCTCCATACCTTTGCAGGTAGAGTTTCCTGTTTACTCATCAGCGTGCATATCGCTCAAAACGGCTGCTCCTTCTCACTTCTGCGGGGTCTATCCGAATCTGAACAGGTACACCAAAGGACTATAGTTCTGGTGTCTCTTGGCTCACATGTTTGGTGACTCTGACGTATCTGTGTGTTTCCTTCAGCTAGAAGGCTCATACCTGGTCAAAGCAGATGTCGGCAGTGCCCCGCTCATGGTCTTAACCATTTCAGTGCACACTGGCTGCATTTCCAACCACCAGCTCCTACATCTGTCTGCCTGCCTCCAAGGCTTAACTTCTAGAGTGTTCTCCCGGGAGACTGAGCTCCAGTGGCCCGTGGTGGGAACTTGCTTGACAAGGCATCCTGCGTTGGCTGCTTCCTCGTCTCATTTCTGCGCGCCACTACGGGTGCATCTTGGAATCACCTCCTAAATACAGTACCCACGCACAAGTCCTTGCCTCTGTGTTCACTTCTGGGGGAGCCTGAACTAAAATACTAGTTCAGTTGGGGCCCAAAGTCACTTAAAGCAAGAGGGGAGCAGAGTTGTCGGTGGGGCAGACCTGGGAAGGTTTACCTTGTTAAAAAGGAACCATTAGGAGGAGAGGCGGAGCACATGATAAAAAGATTTACACCCACACGGAAATGCACAGTGTTCAGGGTGGGGCTGCGCTGGAGACCATGTGGGTGGAGATCAAAGGCAAGGGGAACAGAAGTCATATTGTTGGAGGAGCATATTACAGGCTGCCAAACCAGATGGGGGACATTGATGATGGGTTCCTGACCGAGACCACACAAGGAGCCTGAAGGCGTGACACCTACCGATGGGGAGCACCGCCGGCTGGACAAGCCGCTCAGAGCCCCCGTCGGTGGAGAGCAGGGTGTCTGAGCAAACACTCGGCTCGCTTTGCCGACAACTTCACCTCCTCCAAGATCCAACAGTGGCAAGAACGGTCGCCACTCAAGAGTGAGCTCAAACCAGGAAGGAGGAGCTTTTGGTGAGGGAGCAGGGTGGGAACGTGGGAGAGGGTGAGTCTGTTCTCTCAGAATGAGGGTCTCGAAGAGTGGGCCTCCCGGACTTCAGAATGCTTGGAGCAGTGGCTCTCGGGCTTAAACAACACCAGGACCCTCACGAGCACTGTGTAAGTTAGGTTCTGCTCACTGCTCGGCGGTCTGATGAGCTGATGTTCACACGTGACAGAGGAAGTGGTTTGCATCTCTGTTTTGTTTGGCCCTCTGGGAATGACCGCGGCCATTCTGAGACGCCTCTCTGTGCAGACAGTACCTCCTCTCGTCCTCGAAGCAACACGGAAATGTAGGCATTCCTTGTATGCGAGTCAGCTTTCCTCTATTGGCAAGTGGGAGAATTCCAGCTTAAACCAAGTTAGACACAAAGAGAATTTATTGGCCCCTGTACCCTGGAAGCAGGACAATGAGGCTGATCAAAAGCACGAGTGGCTGTAGGACCACACATGATATGGGCCAGATTCCTTCTCTCTCTTGGTGTGGGCCTCTCCCTTCTCTAGTCGACAGAAGTCCTAAACACGCCGCGGCCGGTGTCTGCTTTACAGCCTTCTAATGCCACGGACCTTCCCCGCTCGGTCCAATTGGAACACAGAAGGCCTCTGATTGGCCTAATTCCTGAGCGGGCAGGTGAATAGGACACTCTGATTGGCTAGGCCTGGGTCCCGCGCCCCATGGCTGAGTAAGAAGTGGCAGGAACCTGTTACCAGAAGAAGGGAGTCAGGAGTGGGGAGTCCTGGTTAATCCCAAACAATAACAGCCACGTTTCCATTTCCATTTCACAGATGTGGAAACAGAAGTGACCCGGATGCTATTACCTGGTGTGTCACGGAGCCAGGATCCGACCCCAGCATTGCTGCTTCTGCCGGACACAGGTGTCTCTTACCCATGGCTGCAGGATTGGAGAAGGAAGACAGGGGCGGGCATTGGTTTTCTGAAAGGGTGTTAGAGGAGATGTTACTTAAGGCCCAGGATCCCTTTCCGAGGCTGGTGCACCTGTCCCCATAGTTGCTGGATGGGGGCCGCCCATGAGAAGTGCCTGGGAGGTCCCCACACCCCAAGGTGGCTAGCCGCCAATGGCTGACTGATAGGGAGGTGGAAAACCCACCCTCTTTGCCTTAAAGGGGTCAAGTCTGCTTGGTCCCTTCACACTGCAGAGAATCCTGGAGGGTCAAACGCAGGTGAGGCTTCAACGGAATCCACGGCGCTGATCTCCCGAGTCCCGTACCCCCTAGAGATTTTCCGCGTTCGTTCACTTGCATAAATAAACCCCTGTCTCAGCCCCTGCTTCAAGGGCACCTGACCCAAGGCAGGTACTAAAAGTCAAAATTCCGACTGCACACTGGCTGCGGGGGGAGGAAACCCCGTACAGAGCCGTCCGCCTTCGAGAAATCTGGAAGGAGGGACTCGAGGAGAGGGGAGGGGAAAGAGCACGGGAGGGGTGCTGGAGGCTTTTATTTAAATTCTGGCAAAAATGTACATAACAGGAAGTTGACCATTGTTTTTCTCGAAACAGTGTTTTAACGTTTATTTATTTATTTTTGAGAGAGAGAGAGAGAGAGAGAGAGCAAGCGAGGAGGGGCGGGGCAGAGAGAGGGAGAGGGAGAGTCCCAGTGGACTCGTGTAGACAGCGCAGAGCCTGATATGGGGCTTGAACTCATGATCCGGGAGAGCTGAAATTAAGAGTCAGATGATTAATGGACTGAGCCACCCAGGAGCCCCCAAATTGACCATCGTTAAGTGTATAGTACAGTGGCATTAAGTGCCCTCACACTGTTGTGCAGCCGGCCTCACCATCCACCTCCAGAACTTTCTCATCTTCCCAAAGTGGAACTCTATAGCCAGTAAGCAACAGCTCCCCATTCTCCTCAGCTCCTCCCCCGCCCCCTTCCCGCAGCTGCCAATCTGCTTTCTGCCTCTGTGACTCTAGGGAACTCACCTAAGTAGCTTCATACATAGCATTTGCCCTTTTGTGACTGGCTAGTTTCGCTCAGCAGGACGTTCTCAAGGTTCACTCCCGTGGTAGCATGTGCCGGGATTTCCTTCCTTTTTAAGGCCTCACAATGTTGTACAGCTAGAGCATATTTTGTTTATCTGTTCATCTATTGATGAACATTTGGGTTGTTTCCACCTCTTGGCAATTGTGAACAGTGCTGCCGTGAACATGTGTGTACAAATACCTGCTTGAGCCCCTGCGATTCTTTCGGGTAAATACCCAGAAGCGGAATTTGCTGAATCCTATGGTAATTCCATATTTCATTTTGGCCTAGCTTTCCGCAGTGGCTGCACCATTTTATGTTCCCACCCAGAGCACACAAGCGTTCCTATCTCTCCCCATCCTCACAACACTTATCATTTTCTGTTTTTTCTTTTTCTTTTTCCTGATAATGGCCACCCTAATGGGTGTGAAGCGGAGGCATGTGGCGAAGCACAAAGCCCAAGGAGCAATGGGTGCCGGGCCGGTGGGGTCAGGCAAGTTTGGCCACTAACAACAGCCTGATGGTGTCCAGGTCGAGGGCCCTGGGCCTGTCTCTGCCTTCTTTACGGCCATCAACGCTGCAGGGGGCCAGGTGCTTTATTGCCTCAGTCTTTTTCTTGCTCGTTGTCTAAATCCTTTTGCCCGTGGGTGCAGACAGAACCCCACTGCGCTGGGGAGGAGGAAGATTTCCGTGACAGATTGCTCTGTCCTCAGATGCAGCTCTGCGCTCTGGCGCACGGCCAGGCTGTTCCCCGTCAGCGCTCTCTTCCCCAAGGCTGGTTCCCTCCAGAAGCACCGGACACATGGGCGTGAGTTCTCCAGCACCCCCGGGGCTGCCCAGGCAGGGCCATCCCCAGTGTGGACCCAGCCAAGCCCGGTGTGATTTCCTCTCACTGCCGCTCTTGGTCTCAGGTCGGGTCGCCCTCAAAGCAGACCCCGAGAGAAGGATGCGGGCGCAAATTAGTTGATTTGGGACGTGAGCCCAAGAAGCACAGTGGGAGGAAGTGAGACAAGGAAGGAAGGAAGGCCAGGGAAGGGCGCTTCAATGAGCGGGTTTCCACTCTGGGAGGTTCAGTGGGAGGTCAGTCCCACAGGGGACCTTCTCAGAGACTTGTCTGGAATACGGCCCAACGCTGCCCCACTGAGAGGTAAGGAAGCTGGGCATTCCTCCTGGCCCGCATTGTTTGAGGGCTGTTCCGGAAGGTGCTGACTTCCTGGCCCTCACCTGGTTTGAGCGTGTCCCCTGCAGGCAGAGATTGCCCTCGGGCAGGGGGGCAGGAAAAGCAGCTGGTGTCTGACCCCCAGGGTAGGCCGACCAGGCGCTGACAGCATCGGTGACATTTTCCTTGACGTTAAAGGGTGTTGAGGAAGGTGTTGACGTCCACCTGGTGGAAGGTGGAAAGGTCAGGATGGAGGGTGAGGTCCCAAGCCTAAACGGAACAAACAGTTTCAGACTCTTAGCTCTGAGTAGTAGTGACTGACTCCCCTACTTCCTGCCGGGCACCAAACTAGGAGTTTTCTATTACGATATCATAGTTTTGATCCTCAGGACAACCTTGTGAAAGAAGAGATTGGCTGCGTGCGATTTTGCAGACCAAGAGAAGATTTAGAGAGGTTAAGATGCTTCCAGAGGGTCACATGGGCCTGTCTCAGTATGTCCAGGGCTCCACCTCTCCCCCAACAAGGTCACCCTCGCTGGCTCTGAGGATCGCTTGGAGCTCGGAGGGCTGGGAGCTCTGCAGGCTGATAGACACACGATCCCCAGATCGAGTTGCGTCTGTGTAGACGGGCAGCCCTGGCGGAGGTCAAAGGGACACTGCCCAGGGAGTAGTAAACTACTACAGAGTGCGGCCACTCTGGCAAACAGTATACTGTCTACACGTCTATACTGTTTGAGGCTCCTCAAAATATTAAAACTAGAACTACCATATGATCCAGCAATCGCACTTTGCGATCTTCAAGAGATATCCACAACCCCAGGTTCACTGCAGCGTCTTTCACCAGAGCCAAGATATGGAAACAACCCAAGTGTTCATCAACGGATGAATGGATACACAAGAT